TTTATATTTTAATTGAAAATAATATCATTATCTCTTGATAACAGATTTACTATCTTAAATTATATTAAATTTATGTCAAAAAGTAAAACATTTATATATATATTTTCTAATATCACCTTGGTAAGAAATCGACCTATAGACAAAATAAGTTTCTATATTGTATACGTAAATATGTACAAATGGGTATCTGTAGATTTTGCATTCTGTAATTATATAAGGACTTCTTGATAATTATTTCTCGCTCTTGAATCACAAATACTTCTTAATCCATTCGTTGTACTGTATCAGATTAATTTCTTACCTGAAAGCTTAATATCTAATTGAAATGTAGGTTTTAAAAAATTATTAACAAGGGAACAAAAACTGTTCAAAATAATTATGTTTTAATGACTAGTAAACTAGATATCAAGTAGTACTTTTTAAATGTGTTTATAATTTCATTTTTTAATTCTTCCTGTGTAAACTGATAGATATATACTAATGCCATTTCTTTCATTAAATAATTTAAATTAAAAGAAAATGGATTGTTTTAAATAAAATAGGAGTACATAAGTTGTCATTTTATACCTGGTAAAATAAATTTTAAGAAATAAGACTAATTTATCATAACTGTTTTGCATTCATATCTCATTATTGTACTGTGCAATCCTATGTGTAATATTTACAAAAATAAGCATTCCATAAGTGCCACCTTTAGTAACACTTCATATTTTTTTGTTTTAAAATTAAGCCAGAAACTGCTGGCTTTATACATCTTAAAAGTATGCACTGATTTTGTATGTGCATAAATCATTTGAGAATCCAGATCTTTTCTTTAGTCAGGTTTATATATGGGTATTTTTGGAATAAATTCAATTAATAGAACCTGGAATACAAAAGGTGAGAACTAATAAGTGTATGTTTACAAATAAATAGAATCTAGCATTCAAAAATAGTTTGAATCAGTGGTTCTCAACCTTTCCATAAATACATAGTACTGTAATCAGTTTTAAATTTTCAAAATTATCAATGAAAATATAGCTTAGATATAAGTAGAAATTTAGGACTATACAGCAAAAAAGTCTCGGGAGAGAAATAATACAAAAAAAGAATAAAAAAAGAAAAGAAAAAGAAAATAAAAAAAATAGCAATTCAACTATTAAAAATTATATTCAATGACAACAATCTAATAAAACATGGTATATAAATTATTTACATATTATTATCTATCTCTCAGTTACCACTGATGATATATGTATCACTGATTGAGAACCACTAAATTAGACAATGATGTAACTAAAAGTCTAAGCTTATTCATATAATAGGACTTCAAGTATTTATATAATCAGAAAAGTGATTTTGTCCTTTTTTGAAAAAACTGATAATATGTAGCAAAAATTTAAGTTTCATAAATTAATGTAAATAAATTAATTGTAATATATATTAAATGCTTATAAATATAAAAATGAATTCAATTTGTCTTTATATATACTTACGTATTCCATCATGGACGAAGTATCACATCTTTGTTTTGCCAATCTCCAATGTAATCCAAGTTTGTGATACAGCCTACTATTTTCCCACTCCAATAATTTGTTTAATGAATGTTGTGTCTAAAATGGTAAGATACAAATATTTTTATATATCTTATACATTTTATTACAAACCATAGTCATGTTATATGAGATAAGTAAATAGATAAGTAAATATTTACCCTTTTACTCAAACAAATAACAGGCCAAAGAGAACATCCTAATGTACAGCAGCAGCAAACACAACCACAAAATAACCACTTAACATTAACTGGTAATGTTTTCTTCAGCACACTGTTTATTCTCATAACAGTTGCTTTAAATTCCTCTGGAGCAACACGTGAGACCAAGCCATTTGGAAATTCTGATTCAAAACGATTGCTAAGTCCAAATCTAAAATGTGTAATTAAAATTTTGATATATTAAACAAAAACATGTTTTTTCACATATAAATAAATATATAAATTGATTTATAAATTATATATACAAGTCACATATATAAATTATAATTTAAAAAATTATTTCATTTGTTCGTTTTTTTTGTACAAATATAATAGTAAAAAGATGATAAATATTGTATAAATTTTATTCAATTCCATATTTTGTAATGTGTATGTTCTTAATGCAAAAAAGGAATTATTAAAAATAAAGAAAAAGATCGGAATCAGTATAAAAATAGTTTATAGCTCTTGTCTCTTTGTTCTTGAAACAAAGCGATAGATTTACATATATACAAAAATTTAAGGAATAACAGAATTATACTTACACAGTTATATTACCAGCCCCGCGAATAACTATAGGATCTGGTACCACAGTCACGTAATGTTCTTCTAAATTTTGTTCATTTTCTTCTTCCTCTTCGTAAATTGCATCGAAATCTGCCATTGTGCAATATTCAACGATTCCCGCTCTATGAACAATACAATTATATCGTCTCGAAGGAACAACGTTTATACCCTTGAAATACAGCTCCTTTTCATTTATATTTAACACAGAATTGCAACGTGTACACGTTGACTTTAAGTATTATGCGTAAACATTTTCGCGGCCACGAATAATAGGCCAAGCAGCAAACTTTCAATTGAAAGTTATTCGTAACAACACCACTCACAACACAACACACGACGCGCACTGCAGATGCTCACAGCTCATCAATTTTTCATTCAATGCGATTTCAGGTTCGCCAACATTATAATCTATGAATTTGTACAAATCCTATATTCAAAACTAGATAGTACCGCTGAATAATTTACATTAAATTCATTCTTTTTATCTAATAAATTATATATAAATTTATATAAATTTCTTCCTGATTTAATTTTTTCTATAGTAATACTATTTTACGAGTTGTTAATTTCAATAATTATTGCTATAATATTCACAACATTATGTTTCTATTTTATTCGTTTTTGATACTGACATTAAATAGAAGTCTTTAAGGATATCAAAATAATGTTACAAAATAATTAAATACTTGTTAAAAAAATTAATTAATTTATTGCGCATTACAATAATATTGCGTTACTATAAAATATAGCCAATACTTTTTACATGATTCTGTTTTAATTAAAGCAAAATATGATTTATTCTTAACTATTAATAGTAATTTACACTCTGTGTACAATTTTTTGTACTTTTATAAACATATTTAATTTTGTTCTATAATAAGATCTGTCATGTCACAAGAAGAATTTATTTTTAATGTTTTTTCATTAGCTAAATGCAATAGAGATACAAAAGAAATTGGAAAACTTAAAGCTTCAATATTAGTTTTAGTTAATATTCTTGGCAACTTATTATAGATATCAGTGAAATGTTTATTGCCATTTATTTTATCTATATCTTGTCGCATTGCTTTTTTAGTCACTGGTTCTTCTACATTCTCATCTGTTTCATCTTTTAAACATTTCCAAATAGAATATTTTAATTGTCTCATGTCAATTTTTTTAGGACGTATACTGTATCCAATAGATAATTTATTTGTGAGTTTGGGTATAGCAACTAAATTGTCTCCAGTAAAAGGCATCTGCAATCCTGACATATTCTCAACCTCATATGTCATACCATTAACAATCATGTCATCTTCATTTTCTTTGTTATTTTCACCATTTTTATTGAGAGCATAATTTGATGTATCATTTTCATTTGTATAATTATAATTTTCCATGTCATCAGATAAAGAAGTAGCACTCTTATTTCTTGGATTTTCAAGCATTGTTGAGTGAAGATATAATTTGCTAGCTTGTATAATATCATAATGTTTGTCTGGTGGTAATGTCAATATTTCTTCATTCCATTCTACTTTAGCAGTTCTAGCAAGCAGTTTAGCTGCTTGACTTGGTAAAAATTTAATATTTAACCTTTCGATTGTTTCATTGTCATAACACAACTCTATTTCTTTTTTCTTTTTTGCTTGTTGCAAATGTAATTTATTTTGTACATTATTATTAAATAAAGCTCTTTTAAAGTTAGTAACTTTCCAATGAGATGGACCAGCCCAATGTATACTCAAATTTTTCTGAATAAATGTATATTCTGAAACTTTTGATGGTACAGTGGTAGTTAAGACTTTACGAAAATCAACAATATTTTCTACCTGGTTAGATTCCATAGCACATCTGTTTATATTTTCTTCTTCTGTCATTTCAATATCAAAATAATTCTTACCAGTAAATCTACAATCATCTTCTTGTGGTACACTTGCATCAAGATCAAACTGAAACCTATTTTCATTACTTTGGTCTACATTAACTTCATTCAGTTCATCATCTGCAGTCCAACCATGAAAATTAAAATAGAATAAAGGAGGACAAATTTCCATATTTGAAAAATCTCCTATTTTTGGGATATCAAATACTATGTTTTCATCCTGCATATCTTTGTTGTTTACTGTATCTACCAAAATATCATTATAAGGGTGTGGATAAAATTTTGAATTTGCATGATTCGGTAACATTGCTTGATATAACATATCAGTAGTTTGTAAATCTGCTTCCATAGTTATTAAAGAAGGTTTTTCAGTTTCAACATTCATTTTTAAAGCTTCTACAGTAGTAAATATTCTTTGTTTATTTCTCTTTTTCTTTTTCTTCTCTAGTTTTTGTTTTTCTTGACTATCTTCTATTCCTTCCTGACAATCCATTTCCTCTACATTACTCTTGTTTTCATTATTCTTATTTTGCTTGTCTAATCCACCAATCATTTGGAGTATGTCCATATGTACACCATCAACACGAAATCCATAAATTTTAGTGCTTACATCTAAAGATGTAGTAGCTACTTGTAAATTAGACATATTGGCATCTTTCTTTTTTATCATATATGTCATAAAGTCAATCATTTCTAAACTGAATGCATTTTTTGGATTAATTTTATTCTCTGTACCAAGTTTTATACACTGAGATATACGTTCTGCCATTTGAGAAGGTGGCATATGCACTAAGAAACCAAGCCCTAAGGAACGTCTTCTATCATTTAAACTTATAGGAGTTGACATTGAAGAATCAATAATTTCACGTCGACGAGCCAAACGTTCTGCTTCATCATTGTTCTCTGATAAAGCAAAATTGCTTGAACTTTGTGGTAGCATAGACTTTCTTCGCAATGGTGATGAAGAAGTTGAGGTGGAATGTATAGTAGAATTTAATAATATATTTGTTGTGCTTTTACGAGTTGCCATTTTGTCACTTAGAATTTTAAATTAAGCCAAGCTTCTTTATTTATATTCCTAAAATAAATATAAATATTATGTATGTACATATACATATATACATATATATATTGTTTTATAGTATTATTCAAAAGTACAAAGTTAAAAAATATATAAAAAATTAATTAAATTACGTAAATATGAGTAAACATAAATAAAAATATATGAATATAATTAATTAACATTATATAAAATTTAATTGAATTACTACTTTATGAGACTCTTAAAAATATATGAATATTTCTTAAATATTGAAGTAATTTACAAGATTATATAACAGAAAATATATGTTTATTTATATATTACCTGTGATATTCCACAATTATTATAAAAGTAGAAGTATGTTGTCAACAAATTTTTTCTTTTTAATACTGCATATTGAAAAATAATAAAATCTAAACATGTTTAAATGAACATGTGTCAGGAATTATAGAAAAAATAACTCGATGAAGAATACTACACAAATTAGTATGTAAGATTTTTTCAAATTAATGACAATTTAGTATTCAATTATGTTTCACAAACTTCATTTATAATGCATTCAAAATGCAACATTAATTCTCTACTTTATTCAAATCAACGCTATCTCTAGAACGATACCAAATTTAACAGTAGACCTAAAAAAGTACAAATATTTTTTGTATAAGTTCATTACATATAAAAATAATAAGAAAAATATAATATATCATAAAAATACTTTAAAATGTTATTAATAAAAGGTTTCAAGAAAATTAGCGCGAAAGAAACTGTTACAGAAATAATGATCACAAAAACATCAGATTCAAGCGTCTTTACTATAGGAAGGTAGAGACATCTTTCGTTAAAAAACAGTTTGTTGAGACCAGCATCAGTACCCTTTTATAATGCTTTTGAGTACACAACAGTAACTTCTGGTCATTTCGTGAAAACTAATTTAATCGTTGTTTAAAATATATATTAATAAAAACGTTAAATAACACATGTAAACGTTTCCTAATAGAAATATCGTGCAAATTGTCATTATTAAACAATTTCTTCTACTTTTATTGTAAAAGTCACAAACAATTATGCAATTATAATCATTTAACCAATAAATTTGTAAATTATAATACCATGGCGGTTTTGTTGTTAAAATCCATGCTGTTTGCTTGTCAGTGGTCAATAACAGCTATTAAATCATAAAATGGTAAGATTAAATAAATTTCGTAATCAATAAACATTTGCAATATTTTTGTCATTTTGTGATCAACACGAACGTTATTATATACATTGAAGTTGTATTTGTTTTAAATTGTGACTTATCACATTTTTTAAAATGAATATCATAAGATAAGAAACAACTTGTAATAATAAAAAAATCATAGATCGCTACTAACATAAAAATTAAAATGTAAAAAGAATTATTCTATAATTCTCATCTATGCTTGAATTGTTAATTATGTTCAGTTTAGTTACAGTTCTTAAAATAAAAGATGAAGAATTTTAAAAATAGTTATTTCATTAATTTCAATCAAATCTTTGACAAAATTATTTGTAATATGTAATACATAATTTAATAAATTAATTGTAAAATATGTTTTAGAAAATTTTTATAATATGATTTGTAAATATTTATGTATATATTTAAAATATTCATTTTAACAATTATAAATTCTATATCTAATAATTATGATTATTACTATTATTATGATTATTACTATTATAGGGTGCAAATATATCACAATTAGAGAGAGATATTGGCTCTGATCAATTTCCTCCTAATGAACATTATTTTGGGCTAGTTAATGTAAGTATGCTACATAAATATAAATTGCAGTAACATATAAATATAAGAATTAATAAATAAAAATGATATTAATGAATCTTAGAATTGTTTTATTTTCAATATTAAAAATTTAACACAGTATATTAATACTGATATTTATATTATTATAGTTTGGAAATACCTGTTATAGTAATTCTGTATTACAAGCTTTGTATTTTTGTCGACCATTTAGAGAAAAAGTTCTAGAATACAAAGCTAGAAATAAGAGAACCAAGGAAACATTATTAACATGTTTAGCAGATTTGTTCTACAGTATTGCAACTCAGAAAAAGAAAGTTGGATCTATAGCTCCAAAAAAATTTATTGCCAGATTGAGAAAAGAGAAAGGTTAATGCAAATATATGTTACTAATTTAAAATTCGATTTCATAATTACAATAATATTCTTTATTTAATATCAAATATTGAAATTATTTATGGATGAGACATATAATATACATATATATATATATATGTATATATATATATATATAATTTGTTACAGAGGAGTTTGATAACTATATGCAACAAGATGCACATGAATTTTTAAATTTTTTGATAAATCACATAAATGAGATTATTTTAGGTATGCAAATTTTTTTGAATATGTGTACAAGATATAAGGAAATTTACCTTTATCTTGAAATTATATTAAAAAAAACGACAAAAGAAGCAAGCATTTTAACTTCACTGTTTACTTAAAAAATAATATAGAAATTTTATTATTATTTAAGCTAATTTTATTTACAAAATGTTTACACAGGAACACATTTTTAACAGATCTCTACTAATCTAACAATGTAGAATCATTTGTAGAAATAATGACACAAAATTTTTTTATATCTTGTACATACTTACATATAATAGTATATTCTTATATAAATAATTTTGTTTGCTTCATAATTTTAGCAGAGAGAAGTCAAAGCAAACCAGCAGGAGGAAAATGTGGTGCAGGTGATGCTGGTTCACCACCAGAGCCTACCTGGGTCCATGAAATATTTCAAGGAATTCTGACATCAGAAACACGCTGCCTTAATTGTGAGACTGTATCTAGCAAAGATGAGGATTTCTTTGATTTACAAGTTGATGTAGATCAGAATACTTCAATAACACACTGCCTCAGATGTTTCTCAAATACTGAGACACTTTGTAGTGATAACAAATTCAAATGTGATCATTGTAGCAGTTATCAAGAAGCTCAGGTATTTGTAAAAAATTTGCACAGTTACCAAAATTTATAAGAGATTTTAATGATGTATTTCTTTTGTTTTAGAAACGAATGAGAGTTAAAAAGTTACCAATGATACTAGCATTGCATCTAAAGAGATTTAAATACGTGGAGCAATATAATCGTCACATTAAGGTTTCTCACAGGGTAGTTTTTCCTTTAGAACTTCGACTCTTCAATACTGTAAGTATAATGTTGTTATATAATTAATTACTATTTTCCACTATTTGACATTTGAATTTATATTAAAGCACATACATATTTAACTGTATGATAATTTATAGAGTGATGATGCAGTGAATCCAGATCGATTATATGATTTGGTAGCAGTTGTGATACATTGTGGAAGTGGGCCTAATCGGGGACACTATATTTCTATAGTTAAAAGTCACGGATTTTGGTTACTCTTTGATGATGATATGGTTGATGTAAGTTTAGCAATTTATAATACTAATATTTAAATTATAAAAATGATTTGTCCTTATACTGTAATATTTATATATAATAAATTTTCATTATAGAAAATTGATGCATCTACAATAGAAGACTTCTATGGACTTACATCAGATATTCAGAAAAGTTCTGAAACTGGTTATATCCTATTCTATCAATCAATCGATTGTAATTAAAGCTTGATATAAATATATAGCAATTAAATTAAACAAATTCTATGTAATAATTTTGTATTTCATTGAAGTACAGTGTATAAAATTAGAAATATGTTAGATTATTTATAAAAATAAAATATGTATAGAATCAATTATACTTTTGTTTGTAAAATATAGAAAAAGTTATTAGTTTCAGAGTTTATTTATTAACAGAATACCTTAAAAAGAATAACATTCTAAATATAAAGTAAGTTATGTAAGAATTACTTCTTTCAATTTCAATCAGAAACTAAATTCATAAAAAATCTTTTATTTTAATTGTAGAACAATTTGTGTTGGAAATACTAAGAAATTCTTCATATATGTAAAAGTGTATTATTGAAGATAAAGTTATTGTTATAAAAACTTAGCTGTTTTATACATACTAATATAGAAATTAGATTACTATAAGAATTATAATTAGAATTATGTTTAAACCATGTATGGGAGATATACAGTATACTTGCAGAAAAATTTGTTCAAAACATGTTTATTTTAAGCAATAAATTCATAAGGAATAGGTGCAAGGGAAATTGGGTTTTCACGTCCTGATACAATTTTCAGCAGGTTGTCTTTTCAACTGTAATTTAATTTCTTTTTCCTTTGCTTCTTTCCTGAGTCTTTCATTTTCCTTTACGCGTTTCAAGAAATCTTCTCTACATTTTGAGTGAGTCAAATGTTCAATACGAACATTAATTCTTTTTGCAATAATTCGTCCACGAACTCTTTTATTTACAATGACTCCCAAAGCATGAGGAGTTACATTGAATACACGTCCAGTTTTTCCATGATACACTTTATAAGGCATTCCTTTCTGAACAGCCCCATTACCTTTAATGTCAACTATGTCGCCTACTTTATACACTTTCATATATGTAGAAAGTGGAATTGTTCCATGTTTGCGAAACTTTCGGGAAAATAAATCCCTTGTTCCTCGACGATATCCCTTTGAATTTGTCATACTAATAACTCCACCTAAAATATATACTTACTTTAAATTATATTATTTTAAATATAATTGCAAAAATATCATTACTTAAAATTGGTTATATTAATTAAACGAATCGGAATACTGATATTAAGTATATAAATAACGGTATACTTAATAATATTATAAATTAATAAATTTAGCGATGAAATAAAATATCTTATTAAAGTTTAAAATGAAATATGTTCTTATATGCACGTATGCTAACACGTGCATCTACTTATGAAAACAAAAGCTAGAAACAAAATTAAAATTCTTTTTTCAAAAAACATGTATAATGAATATAATATTTATAAGGTTTAAAAGTGTGTAAAATGAATTTCAACGCTAATAATGCATAAATTTTTAATAATTCTTTACAAATATTACCAAATCTACAGAAGCTGAATGTAATCACCCACGTCCGTGGAAAAGAGATTTTAAGATGAACAATCGTGTGTTATATACAAAAATCGACAACAATCGATACATGGATTATTTCGATATTTAACTAAACAAATTCTTCTTTATTATGTTCATTATATATTTTACATAATAACAAAAAATTGACATAAATTTTATTAACTTTCTCTTTAATTTATTTTAAAAACACACTTTAAATTTAATGCACTTACTAGAACTTTTTAAACAAATTACCCTAGGAATTACATTGAATAAACTACTAAATATTATAATAAATATTAAAATAATCAGTAATATAATTTTTTTTTAATTTATAATTACAATAAAAGATTTATTGTAATTTGTAAAATAATATAAAAATTGTTAGTTTATTAAAGTGAATTTTCAGTTGCTTAAAACTTTGTGTTTCTAGATACTAGATTCATTATTAGATAGTTTCCAGTGTTAAAGGAGTTTCCTCTCTATTATTTATTCAATCATAATATCTCTGCATGACAGTTATTTTCTGAAAATTTATAGTTGGTGATCGGTATTTTGCAACTTTATGTTATTTAGTTAACTAAATTAATAATTTAAATAATAAATACTTTGTATAAATAGTTATATATTATAAATAGTTAAATAACATTTAATAATGGTGTGTAATTTAGATCATTTTTATAACAAAGTGTATAGTTTAACATAACATATTATATTATCATTGTATTTACAAAGTTATGTTTAGCCTAAGAAAAATTAATTTTTTCACGAACTTAGATTATATATTTGTACAATAATATTGATATATTTTTTGCATCAATTATTAAATGTATAGTATAATACAGTTAATAATACTCTCTTTCATGATTAATTTAAGAAACTAATTAATAATTAAAAAAGCTATATTTTACACTTTTTCAGTTTCGTAATCAATATGACAGTGATGTTACGGTTTGGAGTCCACAAGGACGTTTACATCAAGTAGAATATGCAATGGAGGCTGTAAAGTTAGGATCAGCTACTGTAGGACTTAAAAATAAAACTCACGCAGTCCTTATTGCACTGAAAAGAGCTTCTTCTGAATTATCTGCTCATCAAGAAAAGATATTCCTTGTAGATAAACATATGGGAATTTCTATTTCAGGTTTAACAGCTGATGCCAGAATACTAAGGTATATTATAAATTGTAAAATATAGATTTTATTATATTAATATTGATAAAACTATATTATTCTATTACTATTTAAAAATCTTTATTAGATTAAAATTGAAATCTTTATTTAATTACTTATAGTCGATATATGCGAATTGAATGTTTAAATTATAAGTTTTTCCATGATAACCTATTACCTGTAAGTCGTTTACTTGCATCCCTGGGAAATAAATTACAAACATGTACTCAAAGATATGACAGAAGACCATATGGTGTAGGCTTACTTATTGCTGGATATGATGTAAGTTATTAAGAAATAACTAATTTATTTCATGATAAATTAGTATTAAAGTATTACTAAGTATTACTGATATTTTTAAAGGATCAAGGACCACATATTTATCAAACATGTCCTTCATCCAATTATTTTAATTGTAAAGCAATGGCTATTGGTGCACGTTCTCAAAGTGCTCGTACATACTTAGAAAAACATCTTAATGAACTTCTAACATGTGATCTTGATGAACTAATAAAGCATGGTCTCCGTGCATTAAGAGATACATTGCCAAATGAACTTGATTTATCAGTGAAGGTAAATGAATGTATTTTTTTTTTTAAGTAATTTTCAAAACATTTGATGAAGATACAATTTCTGCTTATCTATCTCAAATTGAAAATGACAAACGTGGTAAACCTACTGAACCAGATGTAGAACAAGATTCCAAACCTCCACAACCTCCACCTTTTGATAAAGGTCCACAAGATCCACAAGTTGCAGTTGCAATGGATACAGATTAAAAATAATGTAATATACTTCATAATATATTTTATGTATACATTCAAAATGAACTTGCATTTTTACGTTTAAAAATTGTATTTTACCTATTATTACATTCAGTATAATAATAGTATGTCATGGATCATGAAAATCTCTTTAATTTTCAATATATATATAATACATTTTTTTAATGTTTATAATATAACTACAATTTAATAGTTTAATAGTGTCCTTTTATGCATAAAATTACAATACTTTATACTACACTATACATGAATACATAAGTATTCTCGAAATTTTTATATTATAAATTAATATGTTTATTAGTTCTTAATCTGTTTGCTTTTGCGTTTTTTCAATATGTTTGTTAAGAAAAATTCTCCAGCTTTATATGATGAACGCACTAATGGACCACTTGCAGTGTATAAAAATCCTAGTTCATTTCCTGTACTTTCCCACTTTTTAAATTTTTCAGGTTTAACATATTCAATAACTTTTAAATGTCTTTTTGTAGGTTGCATATATTGTCCAAGTGTTAAAGCACTTACACCTACATCTTTCAAATCTTTCATTGTTTGTTCAATTTCTTCATCAGTTTCACCTAATCCTAGCATTAGTGATGATTTTGTAATTATTTCTGGATTGCATTCTTTTGCTGTTTTTAAAACCCTCAATGATTGCCTAAATGATATACATGAAAATATTGAGATTTTTTAAGTCATTAAGGAAAGTTATAGAAGATATAAAATATCTTACCTATAGTTAGCACGTCTATCTCTAATAAATGGAGTTAAACGTTCAACAGTTTCAATATTATGGGCAAATACATCAAGATTAGAATTTACAATTGTTATGATACAATCTTTATCTCCTCTAAAATCTGGTACCAAACATTCCACAAAAATATTGGTTCTACAAAGATAAGGTATGTATATATATTTATTTAATAGAGCACTGCAAAAGTGCAATTTATTATAATAGCAAAAAAAGTAAAGTGATTTACACACCTTTTTTTAATTTCTTTCACTGTTTCTGCAATGTGATTAGCTCCTCCATCACTTAAATCTATTGTAATATATAATTCTAGTTTAAGCTGCATGAAAATTGTGGTATATTTTAACATACATAAATTAACAATTACAAAAAAAAATACTTAACCATCTCTATCCACTGATGTAAGTACAATATAGTCCAAACCCCAATTTGTTATTGCAGTTGCTGTATTTATTGGTTCTTCTGGATTTAATGGTAATGGTGTACGTGACGTTTTTACAGAGCAGAAACGACAACCACGGGTACATGTATCACCCATTAACTATATTAAATTTTTTTCCATTATTATATTTTCATAATATTATTATGATTAATTAACCTTTTTGGATGAAACCCAATTATTATTTGATAATATAATAAATAAACCTTAGTAAAAATATATTATATTGAAATTACTAACAATATGAAAATTTATGTTACAAATTATAGTAGAGAATTCATACTTTACTAATTTCCATTAATTTTAATATGAAAAAATTTATTAAGTATACTTTTAATTAAATTAGAACAAAAAGAAAAAAAAGATTAATGAGATACATTGCATTAATAATACAAACCATAATTGTAGCAGTTGCTGTTCCATGTGAACCACCTCCCCAACATTCTCCAATGTTGGGACATCGTGCTTCTTCACATACAGTACTTAATTGTAATTGTCTTAACTGTGCCTTTATTCTACTATAATTTTTACCCATAGGTATTTTTGTTTGAAGCCAAGGTGGTAATCTCAAACGGGATTTATCTCCCTTTTCTAATTTCAACTTTCCATCATATTCTTTAAATGTGTCAGCAATAAAATCTTTTAAATCTGGCCCCTCTTCTAATTTTTGAGAGAAAGTTTTTTCTTTGAGGCATTGCAACTGCTTTAATACAAAGCTAATATATAATAAAGGGCATCAAATACTTTTATTTTCATATATTATTCTGCAAATACCTACCGTTGAATGAAAATTGCAAACAGTAAATATTTTTGTTCGACTTGAATTATTGAAAAGAACTTGAAACATGATTATCTGTAAATGAACATTCATATAACCTCCACAAATAATAAAAAACTTGACAGCACAGAATACTATCAATTATGATAATAAATCTATAAAGTTACTTTTGTAATCTCTTAATATATATTTGAATTTACAGTAGTTCTCTAATTTTATAACATATATTAATATTTTCATACTTAATTATTTATTTAAAATATATTTATTTAGAATTAAAAATTTA